TTCAGTAGTCCACAACTACTTTTTCAAACACGGCCACAGAAGAATGGGTGTCTGGGCTCTGTCTTTCGCATCATGAATCTCAACACAGCTTAACATCAAAGTTTCCCATGTGAAAAACAATTACTACGCTTTGTTACGGCTTTTTCTTGTTAGCGGCAACGACGCTGGGTAGGCAAGATAATCTAGCTTTCGATCCCCATAAACTGTACCAAGACGGTTTACTCAAACTTGGATTGGCAATCACGCTCAGAATGACACACGTATCTCTTAAAGGCATCTTGTCACCACATGTCCATGTAGAGTCGCTCGCAAATGAAGGCTGACTATCATCTCAGGAGGATGATTTGCACCCTTGACCATGATCGGAGCATGTATTGAATCTTGTGACCCTTCATAGGATGTTATCAAGTGGTCAATCAGACATGAACCCCCGAGTAGTCAAAATACGGCTGTCTGTGTGTGATCCTCACGAACAGGTGGCGGTTCTCTCACAAAAACAGATCAATAATATCAATCCTTTCTTTCTTACAGGGACACCGAGGACTGTCACTTAACTCGGAGCTGTTCATGAGTTGAGGCACGATATTAGCTGTCAAGGATTCTTGCCGATCGATTTTAGCAGAGAGAAGTTGACTCGAGGTTGAGATCTGTTGCGTGAAGTCCAACTTCTCACCTGGCTTCCTGGTATAATTATGCCACGAAGAACTGCCGAAAACAATGCCTCGAAGCTGTGGAAGCATTTCATCATGCGTTCTTTTGCTCCAAAGAGGAGACGCTTGGGGACATTGGCGTAGTGCCTTTGCAGCGGGTGTTTGACCTCAACCCAACATTGTCGTCCACAAAAAAAAAGACCAGACCTACCGGAAACGTCTCTGCATTGTGTTGTCGGCCGTAAATGGCTCCTAACTCCATGTTGTTATCGCCTGGGAGTGTCTCAAAATGGATCTTCATGGGGGTGTTTCGACTTTTGGCACTCGAACGTGACGCATGGGACCAACCCCTTGCGTCCAGTCTGGTGACCCAACCCGCGTTCGTCTCGTCTCATTCTGATACTCAATCGGCTGGCCCTTCTTGTCAGCTCACTGACACGCAACTACGATGACAAAGTTGGGGATACCGCCTTTCGATTCAGGATAAATACTCGATCTGCTCGCCGCAACTCAATAAATCCATATCGTAGCTCTTTTTTCACTCGTCTGTACCGCATTCTCTTCGTCTTCCGCTGGTCAGTATTTTGAGCATTTTGGTCAGCCTTCCTCATCTTATTAGACTCATTTTTTGAGCATTACACACCCCCGGTTCATTCTGAAAATGCGCTTCTCTCTCGCCACCACTCTTCTAGGCTTGGCCACTGTGGCCTGTGCTCGTGTAGCTGACATCAACGTATCTGGCGGTGCTCTCGTGCAACGGCAGAATGCTAATCGGCCTATCCCCTCTGGCGCTTGCTGTGTTGCCAACGCCAGCTTGAAGCAGGACACCTGCACCAGTTAGTCTGGCGCTACCGGTCGTTGCGTGCCCGGTGGCAATGATCGTCAGTCAAATGGTGCGAGAAATATGGTAGCAACATGCGGCTAACACGTAGTCAGGTGGCGGATCTTTAAGCTGTGTCGAGCAATCGAACTTGGAATGTGATGGCAACATTATTGAACGTGGAAAGTCTCTGCGCCGACCTATTTCAGCAAATGGTGGATTGTTTGACGGCGGTAACATCATTCAGGATCTTTCGCAAGCTTCCGTGAACTAAAACAGTTGATGGGACCAGTGGCAGAACCACAATAAACTATAACTTGCCATGAACATCCTTCGGATACTGTACTCAGCCCAACTTAGCCACGCCTATAATAACTCTAGTGTATAAGATAAAGCTGCCGGAAGACTTGGCCCCATGCCAATGCTTTTTATGCTTGTTGCGTTATCATGCAAGTTCGGCACCAGAGTCATCATAACGCCCCGTAGAGTGAGTTGATCTGAGCCCTCTTGAACATCTTTTCGACCAGACCATAGCACATACGACCATACCTACTGGAAAACTCGGGATCCCGTCCGCTCTCCCAGCGATAAACCAGTAAGGGCCGGACTAGTAGTTGGGTGGGTGACCACCAGCGAATCCCCGGTGTTGTATGTTTTGCGTTTTGCCTGTTCCCGTACAGGCATCTGGCCTCACGGTCATTGGTGTTACGGGACACGCCTTAGGGTGGGTGCGTGAATGGGCCTAGTGAACGTCCATGAGTAGAACGTGGGTTCTCTCTATTGTAAAGGGAGAACGCAGAGTCCTCTGTGCCAGGGTCGTCAGTTGCGAGATAGCCTAAGTGGAGTCCGTCTAATCAGGACTTGGTGTCTCCCGAACCAAGCGCTGTGCGACGAATTGCCTGATTTACCAGCCAATATGGGACCTGACGGTGTTTCAATCTGATCTTCGGTGTCTTGCCACGATCCTACAAGGGGAGGCCGAGCACACCATGGGACACAACGGGCTGTCAAGAACGTGGTACGACTTGAACGAGGTTTTGTAAGATTTTGTGGTAGTGCAAAAGTTCTCGTTTGACCCTACCTCAAATTTACCTCCAGGATGGAGAGAGCGAGTAAACCTACAGGTCGAACGACAACATCCATGTTTTCAACGACCAGGTCCAGCGCATATCCCGTTCAAAGGTATGAGGCCTCAACGAGGAAACCGACGGTGAACTTGGAGTGGCGAAGGACGGAGGCCCACTGGATACTGGCATAGGTCTGTGTAAAGCATTAGTATCCAGGTAGAAGGAAGGGTTAGTGGATAGATCGGGGACTTACATCGCGCGAAGAGTGGATGTTGGGGTTGGAGGAGGCGAAAGGCTCCGAAGCGACGAAAGCAGCGGCTGCAAAGCGTCAGAATCAATATTCCTGGATCAGAACACATCGAACTTACGGAAACCGGCAGCACGAGCGCTGGCGTGGTCAGAGCAGCCGTAGCCGCAGCGAGAGGTACCAGTAGTCAGGCCAGTATACTGGCGGGCGATGAGGGTAACATAGGAGCTCAACGAGGCATCGACGTAGTCGCTGAAGACGACAGGGCGGCCACCGGGCGAGTAGCCGGTCATGTCCTGGTTGAGCATGGCCAAGACGGTGGCGCCGGTGGAGGCGTAGTTGCGGAAGACTGCTTGCGATCCGAGAAGACCACCCTCCTCACCACCGTACCAGTGGAACTCGAGGGTATTCTTGGGCTTGAAGCCGGAGTTGGCAAGGATGCGAAGCGCCTCAAGGGTGTTGACGCTACCGGTGCCGTTGTCATCGGCTCCAGGGGCACGGGCAGTGCTGGACCCAGCAGTCGAGTCGTAGTGCGCGCCAACGATCACTACAGAATGTAAGTGCTTGTGTTAAATCATGCAATCGAATCACTTACCGAGTTGGGGCTGGTGCTCGGGATACGGGCAATGATCGATG